TATGTGTGTGTGTGTGTGTGTGTGTGTGTGTGTGTGTGTGTGTGTGTGTGTGTGTGTGTGTCTGTGTGTGTGTGTCTGCGTGTGCGTGTGCGTGTGCGTGTGCGTGTGCGTGTGCGTGTGCGTGTGCGTGTGCGTGTGCGTGCGCGCGTGCGCGCGCGCGTGCGCGTGCGGGTGCGTGCGGGTCATGCGTGCGGGTCATGCGTGCGTGCGTGCGTGGGTGGATGGGTGGTGGGTGGGTGGGTGGGTGTGGTTTGGCGTGCGTGCGTGCGTGTCCGTGCGTGCGTGTGCGTGCGTGTGCGTGCGTGTGCGTGTGCGGGCGTGTGCGAAGCGTGTCTGAGCGCGTGTACGGCGTGTGAGCGTAATACAGCGTGTGCGACGTCTCTGAAGACGAAGCGAAGCGAAACGGCGTACGGCGATAATGGCGTGCGAGCGTGCGTGCGTGCGTGCGTGAATGCGTGCGTGCGTGCGTACGGCGTGCGTGCGTGCGTGCGTGCGTGGGTGGGTGGGTGGGTGTGTGTGTGTGGGTGTGTGTGTGTGTGTTTTTGTGTGTGTGTCCGTTTGTGTGGCTGTGTGTGTGTGTGGGTGTGTTTTGTGTGTGTGTGTGTGGTGCGTGCGTGCGTGCGTGCGTGCGTGCGTGCGTGCGTGCGGGCGGGCGGCGAGCGAAGCGGGCGGGCGGGCGAAGGAGCGGGGGCGGGCGGGCGGGCGGGCGGGCGTGCGTGCGTGGGTGTGTGTGTGTGTGTGTGTGTGTTTGTGTGTGTGTGTGTCTGTGTCTGTGTCTGTGTCTGTGTCTGTGTCTGTGTCTGTGTCTGTGTCTGTGTCTGTGTCTGGGTGCGCGTGTGAGTGTGCTTGTGCTTGTGCGTGTGCGTGTGCGTGCGCGCGCGCGGCTGCGCGCGCGCGTGCGTGCCTGCGTGCGTGCGCGTGGAAACCGAAACGGAAAAGCAACATTTTGGGGACGTTCTCCTATTTGGACACATACTCTATGACCTGCAGTTCATGAAGAAATGAGTGGTGAATTATGGCCTGGGGCTTTCAAATATGAGGCCTTACAATCAGCTATAAGCTTTTGGGAAACCAAGCAGCTGATATTCCATGGGAAGCTGACATTGACACGCCTCAGGCTGCAAATCACCTGCCAGCCCCCCAAACCACTAATCACACGGTGTACAACCACTATACTAGTAGCAATTACCTGAACATTACATGCCCAATTTCTGCCTGGGTTGGGCGTTGGTTGGGAAGGCTCTCCGAGATTTTTCATGGCTATCAATCACTATGCAAAATATTGAAGGGGCTTCCCAACATGTCAGTTACTATTGGCCCCCCAAATGGCCGACAAATGAAGTATTCGTTGTTTATTCGTACGTATGGATTCCCTTGTGTCAGGCTGCTTACGAATCAGGCCTCTCCTACTGCAACAATGGACTATTCCTTTCGCTTGTAGAACACGTGGGTCCCTTCGGGACAAGCCTACCCGAGCGAGCCTATTAAGGGGCAAGCCGCCGGTACCTGGCAATTAACCATGAAATGCTTGCAAGTCCAAGTGGATGATTTCGCAGGTGCCTCACTCCATATGCCCCCGGAGGCCCCAGCTCAAGAAACTCAGGAGGTCCAACTGGCGAGAGGATTGTTAACATGTTCGACGGGTGTGGTCATGCTGTCTGAGGAGCTCTCTCTGGAACTTTGTTCTTCAAAGAAATAGCGGGCCGAAAGGAAGGATATGTTGTTTTTCGCCCTAACACATGCGTGTTTTGCTTGGACACTTTGAACATAATGAGCTACTTAGCCAGAACACAAATCCGAACTCAGGCAGCTGACTTGCCTCAACCTCAGGCCGCGGCACTCGAAAATCAGCCAGATCCAATGCGGAGACAGTCGAGCCGAGAGCTTCAGGCGCCGCAGCTTTTGCTTCTCCTGCGCTGCGGGGTCCAACCGATATGGCCATGGGTCAAAATCCAAATCGTACCCTCAGTGAACATCCCAATCCCCACTAAAATAGGTTCTAAAATGGGTGGTGAATTCACCTGCCCCAAAAGGGTACCATTGGTTTGACCCACAGCCATATGATTCTGTGCAGAACCACATCCCTTGAATCCATCCTTGCTCTGGGGTTTGGTTTATATAGGGGGCTTGTGAGTGAGCTAGCACCAGAACCGATGGGCAATCCGTTTTAATGGGGAACACCCTCCACGGTTGGACATGTAGACCAACACAAATGACCAAATGTTCCCAATCACATTTCCACATGCAGTCTACGGTTTGGAGCAGGGTGCATCCTCAGGGTTCCTTCTACGTTACTATTCGCACACCGCCAAATGCCCTGCAAAGAAAGAAGCTGCGCTTTCGAAGCCAACCCTGCAAACTTTCCAGCCTAAGCCCAGTTTACCCTTAGCACCGGCTTGTTGCCATGGGGCCCCTTGCCTGAAGCCTTGAACTGCCTCTCACATCCCATTCCACCCCACTCGACAGGGTTGTGCTTTCTTGACAGCAATCGGTGCTTGGGCTTGCTTGGGATTGACTTTGGAATCTTCATGGGTCAAGCTGGTCTCCGCTCAGCCAAGTTACCGTGCGCAGCACGTTGTTCAGTACTGCCTGTCCAAAAGATTTCATGGGGCATTGATGGAGCCTGGCCTTTTGCGGACTCCAAGGCAAAACCATACAGCAACAACCATGCAAAGGGTGCAAATTGAAGGGGAACGAGAGGCCCACACTAATAAAACCCCAAGATCATTCAACAGTTCATGACCGAGTCGCGGTGCACGTGACTTGAAGCAATGCTTTTTCTAGCCTCCTGGGCAAAGTCTTCGCAGGGATCTCACCCATCCGCACCCGGGACCCCACCTGGGCTCGCCTTTGCGCTCGCCGCGCTCGCCGGGCTTGCCTCGCCTGCCTCAGGGGTATGTCCCATAACACCACCTCAAAGGGGAACTCAAACAAAAACGCCCCCGAAACTGCTGGTTTCCATTTGATTTATCTTCCCATCGGAAAAAGGCTCAAGAACCGCACACGCACACAGAGAGACACCTACTCCAAGGGTACCTGTTGTGTGCTTAGACGCACTTACAATACTTACCCTCAAAGCGTGTAGGGGCTATATGGCGGACGTGCAAACGCGCACTGAGACAGGGCCTCTCACTTGAGATCTGTTCATAACACGCCTACTAGGGAAGATATCCCCAAAGGACAGTCAACCCGCAATAAGGGATTCGTTGAATGATGCTGAATGGACCTCAATCAGCCTGTCCAAGAGATGTTCATAGGAACCCTGCAAATGTCCGAGAAAGATCAAAATTCCATGACGGGCTAGGCGATGTGCAAGCCACCTAAGCCGATAAGGTGATCACCCGTGAAGGCAAGCCAACGCATTTCCATGTGGCTGTGGGTCAAAAATAGGGTAACCCCAAAATGGAGCCCTGGTAAATGGAAGTAAGGACCAAACCAGCGGTCCCCTAGTGGTTGAATTCTGACCCAGGCCCATGTGGTATTTGATCGCACGGACCCCAGGCCTCGCTAGAAAGGCTGCCGTCTGCCAGCGCACGGCGGAGATGCTCCAGCACTGCCTACGCGCAAAACGGCCGAGTTCGCGGTTTTGTGGAAAAAAACAAAGGACTACATACAGTAAAGTCAGCTCACCCTCTTACAAAAACTTGTTGAATCCCTGCAACTTACTGCATCTTTCAAGGGTTTGTTTATTTGAATCCACTGGAGCATGTCTTCAGAATTTTGGCTGAACCTTAAGGGAAACCCTCAACGTAGAGACGTTGGCTGGTAGGTGCAGGATTTCGGCCAGAACTCGCGGGGACGCAACAAGTGCGGCCTGTTCGTCATGGACGCGTTCACGCGCGAAGCAGCTATGGAACTGCTGAGCAAAAGGCGGCGAACACGGGAGCTGGTACAGTTCTTGGCGAAGTTCTTGGTCAATAACAGCGTTCGCGCGCCGAAAGGTAGGACAAGACTGAGTCGAGCACCCGTGCTGGGTTGGTTGATTTCCTGGACTGCACGGTGAAGCGCCAGGGAAAACAAGCGATCCAAGAAATGCACTCTCCTCTCAGATTTGGCTATGCCTTTCTCAGCCCTTTGCATCCGGGCCCCCTTTCAGTGATGCAACAAGACTGCTTGTAGCAGCCTTCCAAAACGTAGCCCAAAGGAACCATTGTCACCCTTTCGGCGCCAGGAACCACAAAGGTCAAGAGAAAGGACCCCAAATTCCTGAGCGTGACGGAGGTCGGCCTTCTTTCAACAGCAACGCAGGTGCCATAATTCCTTTCCATAAATACCTTTTCTATCGAAGGACCCTGTGGGTGGATCAAAAACATGACCCAAAAATCGGGGGAGTAGAATCACAATCCAAAAAATCAGGGATACCCTGCATGGTGTTTTCCATCGCAAGCCAGAACTGCGTGGCAAACACCTAACACAAATAATGGTAAACCCATGATTCTGGTCCATATTCACTGGGTGAATTATTATCTAGTTATATGTCACGAGCCTGAAATAAGGTGGTTGGAGGGATATTCCCCACATAAACCACCATTTGGGGTGAGGTCGTGTGAGGTCGTTATAATTCACCCAGATATTCAGTGAACCTCAAAATGTAAAATCACGTCGCACTGAAAAACCATGAAATTCGGCGGCAAGCGACTTCATTTGCCTGGCTGTGGGGCTTGCTCCTGGACTCAAAAACGGTGATATTTGTTGCATTTGTGTGTGTGTGCTTGTGTTTGTGTTTCTGTTTGTTTTGAGGGCGCCCTTCACAGGACAGTTTAACGGGAAACGAAGACCATGTTGGGGATCACGCTATTTTGACACATACCCTCGTTCAACGCCCCGGGTGCCGGATTCTTGCCTCCGGCACGTGGGGTTGTAGGCTCGGCCAGTCAGGACACTCGGCATCCACCAGATTTTCCGGCAGGCTGCGGCAATGGCCCAGCACGCCTGTGGATCTTAATGGATTCGATGTGTCAATATGAGTGTTTCTCAGGATTAGCAGTAGCCTCCCCACTAAATGGGCTGCGGGTTAGCTAAATGGTTGGTAGTTGTTTTTCTTCCTCAGAAGTTCACCATATTGAGATGAGCCTAGCATGAGTCTGAGTTGATCCGAATCGCCCAAAAAACTATATAATATTTATTGAATTATTCACAAAAAGTTGATTTCTTGCTTGTCCGCATTTTCTTGCTTGTCTGCGTCAAAACAAAAAAACTGGGAAACATTTGCTCTGAAGCTTGGGTCAAGTATCCCCGGACCAGGCCGTACAGCTAGAATGTTGCTGTGGCTAGTGCGAAAACCCTTTTCATTAACTCCCTGCCAAAAACATGATATGTTCCATACCACAGTTCAGGCCTCTTTATCGCTCCAGCCTGCCTTTGTCAAGATCATGGTGAACCTATTTCCATGCCGACCAAGGGCGAATCTACTGTTGGGAATGCGTGAACTAGCAGACGGTGCAACACATGCCAACATGAGTTCGTGGAGTCACCTTGAAGTGCAGTGGGAAATTGCAACTGGGGCTCCTTGGCAGGCGTATTTCGGGGGTCCCCTATCCCCAGTTGGCTAGAACTTTTGCTGCAAGCAGCTTGGAAGATATTGTGGGCTGTCGTGCCGGCCACCCTCCAGAAACAGCCGGCGCAGTGCGACTGTTTTTCTGGTAGAGAACCCCTCGCAAATGACATGAGAAGCTTGGATACTGAGTCTTGGCTCCAGCGCTTAAAGGTGGTAAAAGCTATTAAGCCAAACAACATCTTCAGCCATAGAGTCACATCTATTCAGCTGCAGCCCTGAAACCCAGGGGGCTTGTGACTGCAGGGCCGGAGAGCCGATTGAAGTGTGGCGTTGATGAACTTTTTGATTGTCCCTGGATGATAAGAGAAGGTGTTCGGTTAGCTGATTTGAAAGGGGTTCAAGTGCTGAATTGAACAAGGGAAAAGTGGAAGGTTCGGCCTCTTCGTTTGCAAAAGGGGCGTGTCTCAAAACAATGCATTGTTCGCTTATTTAAACGTGAGTGCGGCTTTCACCACCTCAGGAAGCAGACTCAGAAGTGGTAAGCAAGAAAGACAGGCTTGAAGGACTTACATGGTGAGCTCCTTCTACCCCCACGTGAGCTCGCCATCAACTAGCCAGATGGTTGTAACCTCTGCGCTCCATCAGCGCCTTGGTCCTGGTAGAGCCTGGCCCGCCACGCGGTTGTTGGACACGGATGGCCCATAGGCAGCCCGCGGAAGAGCGGAGAGAGGCAGACCTTGGCTGGGGGAGCCTTCCGAGGTTTCCTGAGCTTATCAAGGTTATTACCAGCCACGACCAGATATTACTAGAGGGGAAGCCCATTTTAGCGCTTCCTCTCTTCCAAGCGGATTTCCCTTGTCCTGGGTAATGTTGGACCCTCTTTACAAGGACCCCCCCCCCCCCGAACAGTGGAACCAGTCAGCTGGACCCTCTTTAGTGAAATCCCGGGGGTCGGGGAGGGACGGTACTGACTTTAGTATTGCCAATTCTACTTTAGTAATGCCAAGGCGGACTCTCAGGTTTGTATTGCCAATTCTACTTTAGTATTGCCAAGTCTGACTCTCAGATTCCCGGTACTTTTCTTAGTATTGCAAATTCTACTATAGTATTGCCAAGGCTGACTCTCAGATTTCCAGTACTTACTTTAGTAGTTGGACACTAAAGAGGACCCCAAAACAGTCACATTAACGAGGATCAGGGCCTCTTGTGGGCAACCCCCTTTGTGTGACTGTTTGCCCGTACTTTTGCGTAAACAAGTTGTCTTAAATTTGATGGTTTGGGGGGCCACTGGCAAAATGGACTTCCCAGATCCAAGGCCTTTACCCTTTGAGCTGGGAAGAGCTTGTGCCAAAGATTCCTCCAAATCAGGCAAAAACTGACTATTTATCTGGCTGAAAGCCATTGAGGGCAACCGCCAGCTTTTCCAAGCCCAAATTCTATCTGGGTGTGTGTGCTGGCATCTTTCTTTGAAAGGACACTGGTTTAGTGCTAAGGTCCATGTCCCTTCTCGCAACGAACCCGAGTCAGCTGCGGGCAAATTCCTTTGGGGCGTCGGCCAAACAGCCCCCTTGTGATACCGCCAAGAAAGGGCTCGAATCCCTACGCCTACGTTGTCATTGAAAATATGGTTTCCTTGGCTACTAACAATAACTTGACATAAATCGATCAGTGCGCAGCTGGCAAACATGTTGACCTATGTGGGAGTCGTGGGAGTATGGCGTGAAGGTGTGCCTTGTAAGAGGGTCAGTGTCTATCAGGGTCACAATTTTGTCAGCCTAAGTGTCAGGGTCTTCGAAGGGGAATGGACCTCCGTTTCAGGCAACCCACAGTTCATCCACCCGTCATCATCAGTGCTCCAAACGAACCAGGGTCTCTGGGAAATTAACAAGTTCTCCCCTCTTGGATGTTCCTTTTGGGAAAGAATCAACTGTGAACTGCATAGCACTCATCGACCATTGCGTTCAGTGTGTGTGTGTGTGTTTTCCGAAAATTCCTGTCTTACAACATACCCGTATCTAGACAGAGTTCACTGGCCAGGGCAAGTTGGATCCTTTTCGGCATGCCTGATTCTCTGTTTGCTCCATTCGTTTTTCCTTTAACCCCAAAACTTAACACATTGCCGATACTTCAACTAGGCAACACGGACAACCCTGCAATCCGTCATATTTTGCAACCAACATGACTACGATATTCAGACTGCCCCAAACAGGGGTTCCCCCCCCAAAAAAAAACACGCCCGCATTCAGCCAGCCACCCCCGAAAGAAGCGCGAAACGTATCGCCTGGCCACTAGCGGCACCACAGACTCAGCTGGCACCTCCGTAGCCAGCACGAAGGGCCGAAAGTCCCAGCGAACCTCACAGAATACGCCGCGCTCATTTCAGCGAACGCCAACTCCTACAGCAGTGCCTAGGGTTGCTCCCCAGACCCAGGAAGGCAAAAATCTGACATCGTTTAAGCCTTCTGAGTCAGAGTGTTTGCTAAAACCGACCATTTGGTTCTCCGCCGGCCGTGTTTGTTCAAAGAGAAAGCGACCCATTGTGTTTTACAAGGGGGACCAATCACGCGAGGTCCTGATTTTTTAGATGTATTCCTTTCGGGCTGGGCAAAGCTTGAAAACAGAACCATTCGTCAAGGAAAGGCCAAGAGAAATATTCTGCAAAAGCTAAACTAAGTCCAACACCTGCGCGGCAAGGGTCTTCATCAGGGTAAGCTCGTTTTATTCCCGGGTGAGCTCGCTCTTGCGTCCCCAAGTGACATGGAATTTTGGTGAGTAACATCTTCTTTCTGGTTTGGTGAGCGTCATCCCGAGTCATCCCCTCCACAATCGTAGTTGTGCTTGTTCCCTTTAAGACAATGCCAGCACCCTCAAAAAGGACACGCCCCATATTGGGGCTTCGGGCGCTCCGCACCCTGCCAAGCCTCCGAGATTGTGGCTTGGATGTTGTTTTGAGGGCGCCCTTATCAGGTTGTTTGAAAGGCAAACCAAAAGGGAAGCCACCATCTTTCGGATCCAACTCCGTAAAACCAGGGTAGGGGCACGGCGGGTTCAATCCCGTGCCGCGCCGATATCGGCGCGCGCCGATATCCTTGCCGGGCCCCAGGAGATATCGGTGCGCGGGCCGATATGCGCACGCGCTGATATCCTTGCCGGGCAACAGTAGATATTGGTGCGCGCGCCGATATCCGCGCGCGCCGATATCCTTGATGGATCCCGGGAGATATCGGTGCGTGCGCCGATATTCGCGCTCCGATATGATTTCGGGCCCCGGTAGACATCGGTGTGCGCGCCGATATCCGCGCGCGCCGATATCCTTGCTGGGCCCTGGATATATCGGTGCGCGCGCCGATTTCCTTGCTGGGCACCAGTAGATTTATCGATGTGCGCGTCAGTACCCGCGCACGCTTGCCAGGCCCTGGTAGATATCGGTGCGCGCGCGCCGATATCCGCAATTGATGGGCCCGAGTGATATCGGTGCGCGCGCCGCAATCCGTGGACGCCGTTATCATTGCTGGGCCCCGCTAGATATATCGGTGCGCGCCGATATCCGCACGCGCCGATCTCCTCACTGTTGTGTCTTGCTGGGCCCGGCCCCGGGAGGTATCGGTGCGCGCGCCGATATCCGTGCGAGCCGATATGACTCCGGGCCCTGGTAGATATAGCGCGCTCGCCGATATCCGCGCGCGCCGATATCCTTGCTGGATCCCGGGAGATATCGGTGCTGCTGTTGGACCCCGAGAGATATCGGTGCGCACGCCGATATATATCCGGGCCCCAATAGATATCGGCGCGCGCGCCGATATCCGCGCGCGCCGGTAGCCTTGCTGGGTCACTGGATATATCGGTGCGCGCGCCGATATCCACGCTCGCCGATATGTTTACCAGGCCGCGGTATCAATGCGCGCGCCGATGTCCGCGAGCGCAGAGATAATCTTGCTGCGCCCGGCCCCGGGAGATATCGGGCGCCGATATCTGCACGCACCGACATGATCGATTGCTGCGCCCAAACCGCCAATGCCCGCCCGAACCGAGACCCTTGCTGGGCCCGGTAGATAGTGCGCCAATACACGCACGCGCCGACACCGCGCGCACCAACATGATTGCCGGGGCCTGGTATATATCAGCGCACGCCGACAGCCGCGCAGGCCGATATCCCCGCTCCCCCCGGTAGATATTTCGTCGTGCGCGCCGATATCCGTGCGCGCCGATATCCTTGCTGGGCCCCGGGTCTATTTCGACATCTGGTCGTGTAGGCTAAGGCGACCCAGCCAAAGGTCCGAAAGGACTGTGAATACCCAACATCTGAGATTCCGCAAACCATCCATCTCCAAATCCAAAGAGCTGGTAGGAGCGGTTGGTCCGTCAAACCTACACAAACAAAGACGTTTGCCGCGGCTGTAGAGTTAGTGCCACTTCAACGATTATTGAGAAAAAACTAGAGGACGATTGGCCCGAAAGCATTTTTCCCCAGGCGCTCATCCAGCCGCGGAGACACCTTTTTACATCGCTGCGGCGAGCGTGTCTGCACGCGGCAATGCTTAATGTGTATGGTCACATGAGAGCTTCATCTTATCGTGCTACGAGAGGAAACATGGCAGTGCTCGATCCCACATATTTACATCCGTTAAAGCAAGAAGAGTAAAGCTCGTAAAGCTCGAAGCGAATTAATTATGCAAGCAAAAGGAAAAGCAATCAATAGCAAAGCTTACACGACGGCCACAGTTTCTGCAAAGCACGCTCACGCAACTTAGCTCTGTGCAAGATGGCTCTGCGCAGCTTGGCTCTGTGAAAGTTGGCTCTACGCAAGCTACTTTTTGCGAGTGGCTCTGCGCAACTGGCTCTGTGCAAGTTGGCTCTGCACGAGTCTGCTCGGGTCAATGTGCTTTGCATGAACTGCGCCGCGATTTCTCACGAAAGTGGTCTGCGCAAGCTGCATTGTTCCAGGCTGCTGCGCGCAAGTTGCTCTCTGCAAGCTGCTGCACGCAAGTGCTCTGTGCAAGTTGCTCTGCGCAAGTACTCTGAGCAAGTTGCTCTGTGCAAGTGCTCTGCGCCAGTTGCTCCGTGCAAGCGCTTTGCGCATGTGCTCTGTGCAAGTTGGTCTGTGCAAGTTGCTCTGCGCAAGTGCTTTGTGCAAGTTGCTCTGCGCAAGTCGCTCTGCGCAAGTGACTCTGCGCAAGTTGCTCTGCGCAAGTGCTGCCGGTACTTCGCGTGAAATTTGTACTTAAAAGTTGCGATTTTCCAGCCGGAGCAGCGGGCTGGTGACAAACACACAAACACACAAACACACAAACACACAAACACACAAACACACAAACACACAAACACACAAACACACAAACACACAAACACACAAACACACAAACACACAAAACACACAAACACACAAACACACAAACACACAAACACACAAACACACAAACACACAAACACACAAACACACAAACACACAAACACAAAACACAAAAACACACAAACACACAAACACACAAACACACAAACACACAAACACACAAACACACAAACACACAAACACACAAACACACAAACACACAAACACACACACAAACACACAAACACACAAACACACAAACACACAAACACACAAACACACAAACACACAAACACACAAACACACAAACACACAAACACACAAACACACAAACACACAAACACACAAACACACAAACACACAAACACACAAACACACAAACACACAAACACACAAACACACAAACACACAAACACACAAACACACAAACACACAAACACACAAACACACAAACACACAAACACACACACACAAACAAACACACACACACACACAAAAAACACAAACACACAAACACACACAAACACACAAGCACACACACACAACACATACACACGACACACACACACGCAAACGTAGCAAAACATCTGCGCCTGCTGTGAAATACCGAGCCTTTGGGAAAGCGCGTGTAAATTGAGTGACTGAGAGTGCCAGTTGAGTGAGTCAGAGTAAGCATGGTTCAAAGTCAGCGAGCGTAAGTCGCGTGAGTGAGAGAACGCGGGCATAAGTTCAAGAGTGTAAGCTGGCAAGTGAGAGTAAGTGTGTGTGTGTGTGTGTGTATGTGTGTGCGTAAGTTAAAGTAGCGCGCCTGTCACACAATCCAGGCGTGCACAAAATGAGAGAGCAAGGAAGTGAGAGTAAGAAAGTGAGAATGATGAGACTGAGAGTGACTGGAAGGGGAGTGAGTGAGTAAGTGCGACAGTGAGCGAGTGAGTGAGAGAGAGTGAGAGAGAGTGAGAGAGCGTGAGAGAGAGTGAGAGTCAGAGTGAGAGAGAGTGACGCGCTGAGCACGAATGTCTTGCTGGGGGATATCGGTGCGCACGCCAATACCGCGCCGATATCCACGCTCGCCGATATTCTGAAGGAGATGTCGATTTCAGGCCGCACGCCGATGTCCTGCGGGGGGGGGAGGCGGGAGGTGGGGTGTCGGTGCGCGCACCGGTGTCCGCGCGCACCGATATCCGGCCGCATACCGATGTCCTGCTGAGGGGCCCGCGCCGATATCCTGAGGAGAGGGAGCGGAGATATCGATGTCCGGCCGCGCGCCGATGTTCTGCTCACAGGGCGGGCGCGATGCGCGCGACGATATCCGCGTGCGCCGATATTGGAGCGGGGAATATCGGTGCGCGCCCCGATATCCGCGCGCGCCGATGTCCTGGGGAGGGGGCGGAGAGGAGGGGGGGATATCGGTGCACGCGCCAATCTCCGCCCGCGCCGATATCGGAGGAAACAATATCGGTGCGCGCGCCGATGTCCGCGCGCGCCGATATCGAAGGGGGGGATATCGGTGCGCGCGCCGATACCCGTGCGCCGATATCGGAGAGGGGGGGGGGGGGGGGTATCGGTGCGCGCGCCGATATCCGCGCGCGCCGATATCCGCGCGCGCCGATATCCTGAGGAGGGATATCGGTGTATCGGTGTATCGGCTTCAGCGCGAAATGGAAACCCGCAACGCCGGCACAATGCGTAAAACAACAAAAAAACACCAAGGGGATGGTCGAACTATAGGCGTTTGCTGGAAACTAAAAGGGAAGCCGTTATTTCTTCGGATCCACATTTCCTTAAAACAAAAAGAAAGGGGATGGTCGAACTTTCGGCGTTTTCTTTTGGGGAATCCTTGGTTCATAGAAACCAGCTACTGGAAATTCTACAGGAAACTCGCCAAACTCCCACCAAAATCGGAGGTTTCCTGTAGAACTTCCTGTAGTTGGCTTCTTAGATTGGTGGTTTCCCTTGTCGCCCTTGGAACTTGCGCCCGAGGCGCCCCTGCGGACCAGGCCAGCGACCGCTGCAGCTGCTGCAAGATGCGGCCGCAGCTGCGGGCGCCCGTCCAGCCCCAGGAGCAGGTCTCGATCCAGGGCACCTCCTGGGGGTGCAACTTCTGTTTGGGTCATAGGTGGCTATTAAAAAGAAGGAGAACAAAAAGGTGCATAGGTGCTGAAAAAGTGGTTCTGTGTTGTAACGGCAGCTATGCAGGTCGTGACAAGGTGGTTTTGGGGTTGCAAAGGCGGGTTTCAAGGTGCCTATCAAAATGTGGTTATCAATCCTTTCAAGTCATCGGAATCTCCAGCGAGCAGCCGGGGCAGCCCATGGCTCAAGGCCGGTTCCGCGGCAACATGTATAGCATCTGCGTCTTTCTTGGGACGTACAGCGGTTCCCTTAACGGGGATCTCAAGCCGGCTCATTGTGTCCATGAGGCCCAGTCTTGGATCAAACCACTGATTGATCCCCAGGCTGCCAGCTCGCACTCGTGCATCTAGTGCGGTCCGCCATCCCTTCCGCAAATTCTTCCGAAGGCAACGGTCACACTTCGAAAAGCGGGAGACAAGGCTGGGTTCAGCGGGCGATCTCAGCTTGCAGCAAACTTGGCAGGGGCCCTGACGATCGGCCCCAATCTCCTCGACGCGAAGAGTGAACCAGGCTTTCGTTGACAACGAAAGCCTGGTTCAAGGACCTTTGAAGGGCGAGGGAGGAGCGAGAGTTGCGTCGCAGGGCGAGAAGCGAGACGGAGACGAGGTCCGTGGAACCAAGAGGCCTGGGATGCAAGCCATCGGGCGGGGGATCATCTGCGCACACAAATCTGGATCATCTGTACACACAGGCTTTCCTCACTTATTGCGCCATGCACTCTGGATCATCTGCGCACACAAGGTTTCTGTCATCTGGATCATCTGTACACACACACACACTTTTGGCAGGGTGGGGGGGTGGGGGGTGGGGGGGGGGGGGATTGGTAAGCACACCCGCTCAAGTGCGCCCGCTCAGCACTGTGGGGGGGGGGGGGGGCTGGTGGGGGGGAATGGCAAGCACACCCGCTCAAGTGCACCCGCTCAGCGCTGTTGGAAGAGTAGCCCGAAGGGGTGGGGGGTGGGGGGGGGGGGGGAATGGTAAGCGCACCCGCTCAGGTGCACCCGCTCGGCACTGTCGGGGGGCTGGGGGGGTTGGGTGGGGGGGGGGGGGAATGGTAAGCACGCTCGCTCAAGTGCACCCGCTCGGCGCTGTTTCCACGCATGCGGAAGAGTAGCCCGAAGGGGTGGGGGGTGGTGGGGGGGGGGGGAATGGCAAGCACACCCGCTCAAGTGCACCCGCTCAGCGCTGTTTCCACGCGTGCGGAAGAGTAGCCCGAAGGGGTGGGGGGTCGGGGGGGGGGGGAATGGTAAGCGCACCCGCTCAGGTGCACCCGCCGCTGTCGGCTTGGGTGGGGGGGGGGGGAATGGTAAGCACGCTCGCTCAAGTGCACCCGCTCGGCGCTGTTTCCACGCATGCGGAAGAGTAGCCCGAAGGGGTGGGGGGTGGTGGGGGGGGGGGGGGAATGGTAAGCACACCCGCTCAAGTGCACCCGCTCAGCGCTGTTTCCACGCATGCGGAATAGTAGCCCGAAGGGGTGCTCAAGTGCACCCGCTCAGCGCTGTTTCCACGCATGCGGAATAGTAGCCGGAAGGGGTGGGGGGTGGGGGGGGGGGGGAATGGTAAGCGCGCCCGCTCAGGTGCACCCGCTAGGCGCTGTTTCCACGCATGCGGAATAGTAGCCCGAAGGGGTGGGGCGCCCGCTCAGGTGCACCCGCTAGGCGCTGTTTCCACGCATGCGGAATAGTAGCCCGAAGGGGTGGGGGGTGGGTGGGGAGGGGGGGGAATGGTAAGCACATGCCTGCCACCTAATAAGCACACCCGCTCACGTGCAACAGATGGGGTGCGGTATTGGGGAAGGGTGGGGTGGGGGTGGGGGTGGGGGCTGGGGCGGGGCGGGGTGGTAAGCACTGCGTGTACAAACGATCCGGGGCAAAAAAGGCCCGCGTGCAGAGACGATCCGGTCCCGCGTGTACAGACGATCCGAATTCCGCGTGTACAGACGATGCACCGACCCAAGCCATCCCTCCGGTCCCGCCGCGGGAGATTGGAAGGCTTTCCAGCGAAGGGTCTCAACTGCACGTCGCACGTTCTGCGTGTGCCTGGGAGATTCCACGCTGGTGGAAGGGTACTCGCTTGAAAATCAGATTTGTATAACCGACTTGAGACGGCCAAGAACTTCCCACCCACAAATGTCATTTGCGCCGCCATCCAAAAACCTGGTGTTACAATGGTCTGCTCAAAATTGCAGAACATCAAACGGATATATCCGCACCTATTTCTGGTTGCGTCCCCCACTATCAAGGCCTCCTTGTTTTTGGAGTGTGTTGAAGTTGCGGCCAAGTTAATATTATTCAGTTGTTGCTTGGTTCATTTAGAGTCAAGTTGCCATCTGTGATCTGCCTTTGTAGAACGTCGAACGTTCCACACTCCCTACTACTGTTTACCTAATCCTCATTTCCCATAGCCCTCGTAAAGTGATGGCTCAGGGGTTGTACATCTTGTTCTGAGCTGGGCGTCTTTTTCAAGTCAAAACTGCCTAACCTTGTCCACATTGAATCGACCAGATCTCATCAAACTTTGGGGTCCCAAGTGCTTAAGCGTCTTCTTCCAGGTTCTTTGGGCTGAGCTATCCTATTCAAGTATCATGCACGTGAATCAACCACACCTCACAATGTGTAAAATCCAGAATAATCTCCCCACGGCTTAACTTGGCTTTTTAAGTACCCCGCAACTCCAATCTAATCATTAGACCCTTTTGGCAGGCAACGATTGTTTTACCAATTAGCACAAAGGCCCTGAACCATCTAGGAAAAATGCGTTAGACCGAGTTGGACCCCATTCTGATGAGTTCGGCGGTCTTTTCGGCAACCCCATTTCTCCTCAAAGGCCTTTCTGCAGAGCTCGGCACGGAGGTCCAGTGACAAGCAAGCCTCGGACCTGATGGCACAATGTCGCACCGGCTTGGGTGAGTTCGAATTCCAACTCTGACTCAGAGCCACATCACGTGGAGTCATGGGAACGTCATCACCCCCCTTCATGGTCCTTGATGGGCCTCTCATAGTCACTACTATTCATTAGGCTGCAATGGATCCCCTTGCTGTAGCTCTGAATCATATACAAAGAATTAAACAAAACAAAACACCCCTCCCTGCCGTTCAGGCTTCACTTGGCCTTACTTGGCATGTTTCTGGGTGAAGCACTCACCAACCACCGGTAGGTGAGGTGCCCATACATTTGCCCAGCTAGAGGTTGGCTCCTTGCTGATGTCCGGGCCTACAGCAAACAAAAAGCAGCAAACCAAAGGACCAACACAAATTCTGACATGAAGCTCAGGGTTCTGACAGTCTGTTTTTGGCTTTCCTTGCCCGCAAAATGATATTAACAACTGCAGAGACAACTCGAAGGTGACGCCTCATTGGCAGTCAGTCAGCCCCAAGAGCCAGGTTCGGGGGGATCTAACAGGGATCTCTACATGGAACTTAAGATGCCAGAACTCCCGATGTACGGCTAGGAACGACTTCTGCTCCAGAGTTTGCTTTGAAAAACACTCGCCTTATTTGGACGCGGCGTGCTATCAATCTTGAGTGAGACAGTCAAGCTTGCACTTTTTGACTGGCTTGCACGCATCAAGACAAATCAGCTGCAGACTTTGCCCGGGCTGCAGATTTGCGTGCAAAGACGCATGCTGCAGATTTAGGTTGCAAGCAGCTGCAAATGTTGCGTGGGTTGCAAGCAGCAAGGAAAAGCAGCGGCAGACTTTGCCTAGGTTGCCTGGCTTGCGCCCATCAAGGAAAATCAACTGACTTTGCCTGGGTTGCACGCAGCAAGAAAAAGCAGCAGCAGATGTTGCCAGTGTTGCAGCGCACGTCAAGGAAACGCAGCTGCATATGTTTGCCTGAGTCGCACGCGTCAAGGAAAATCAGCTGCCAACCGACGTCAGCCACTTATTCACAAAGCATGGCACTCACATTGACGCTTAAGAAGTTTCTTTGATTCCAATCCCCTCTCGCCATCCAGCGCCATGCCCAAAGAACATCAGCCGGACCCACCCGGACCCCGACTAAGCCGAGGCACTTGGAGGGCGCCAGGAAGGCGAAGCCCAGCTGCAGGCCTCTCAGCTCCAGGACCTGCCGCGCTCGCCTCTGGCTTGGCGGGGCGTGGTCTTTTTTTTCTCTTTTTTCCGGTTGGGCCCCGTTTTGGGGTGTCCAGAGTGCTCATTTCCGACCTTCCGAATGGCTGTGGGTGAAAAATAGGTAGAAGGGAACGTGGTAAATGGAAGCATGGACTAAAACCTGCGGTCCCCTCTTGGTTTAATTTTGACCCATACCCATGTGTCCCAGTACATGGGACAATCAGAGCTTGTCGGTGTTTTTTTTTTTGCGAAAGAATGGTGAGTTCTCTGATGCCCCTGCGCACCATTTCGAGTTCTTTTTTCAGGGCGCATCTTGGAAGGTCCAATTCCCTTCTTGGGTAGCGCCAGGTTTGCAGCTTGTAAATCGAAACTGAATGTTGCAAACGGCTTGCGGACTTGCTCTTGAAAGGGCCCTAAAACGGGTTCCCAGGGTCAATTCCCGAAATATTGCAGCTGGGAACAACACAAGGTCAAACTGTTCCTTGCAAGGATCAACTGTTGCTCACTTGCTCAAACAACCTGGAGACAAAGGCACATCTTTAGGAAACTTGACTAACTAACAGTGGTTGCCAAACTGCGGAAACCAACAGGTCAACAGCTGATGGGCTTTGGGACAGGTGAGTGCTGCGGAGGCTGCTCAAAGTTTTCTCCTTTTGGCTATGGCAGGAAATTTGTTTTCCAGGTCAAAGCTTTTCAGGTCCCGAACCCCAATTGACAGACTACCGGAAAGTTCTGAAAGTTAGACCGAAACTCACATGGGAGAATCAAATAGGTGGTTTGCCTTTGGCTTCACATTGAAATTCCCCCTTTCTGAGGAAGACTTTTCGTTGGGGCGTCGTTTTTTTAACAGTTGGTACGGGTTTGTTCAAGAAGGAAAGGGGAAACGACCGAGTTCCTTGCAGGCCCAAGGCTCTCCAAGACCTCTCGGTGGGCAAACTGCACCGGGCAGCACTCGGTGGACCAAACCAGGAAGGCCACGCTGCGCTGCACGCTGTCGCCTAAACCCATGGGCCTGTCTTCTTGATGGTTCCCTTTCTTGTGGCCTTTTGAAGGGAAGAGGAACACCACCCATTTTGGTGGGTCCCCTTCAAACACACAAACAGACACACACGCAAACCCATGTGAGGACCCGAGGAGCAGGGGTCCACAGGTACTGAATCCTGGCACCTGGTGCCTCCCTTAAGTTGCCTGGTGGGAAAGCCGGGGCGGAGTCTCCGGGCCGCTTTTTGGTAAACCGAAGGGTCTTCCAATCCCGAGAATGTTCTTGGAAGAATGCGACGGAGACACAAGTTCCCTTGGCCCCAAGCTCCTAAACCACCCAAATCCAAAACTAAGAAAACCCGAAACCCCAAAGCTTCCAAAAGCCCAAACCTTCAAGGTTGATCAACATTGCCCAAACCTCCTAAACCTCCCCAACCCCAAGCACCTGAGAGGTGCTCCACAGGCCTGCAACTGACCCAATACCAAGTGTCTCCTCTCGTGGTTCGGAGCACTCCTTCATCTAGGTGGATGTATCCGGGGTGAAGATTAAAAATATCTAAACAGGGCTGTAAAAAATCTGGCCAAGCCTTCACCTACCCTGGTCCTTCCCTGCACTACCTTCTTTGCTACCCTTGTGGCTTGATTGCGGACTTCCCCACTTGGCGCAAGCTCCCGATCGCCTTGTTCCGCCAAGGCCTCCAGCCGTGCCCGCAGCTTTGCCAGCGGCAGGTTGCTCAGCTTCGCCTTCGTCCGCTCCTCGAGGATAAGGCGCGGGGGAACACGTAGCAATTTGGGACCGGAAGGTCTGGGGCTCGGGCTTCCGCGATTTAGAGAGGGTGTTGGAATTTGGAAGGCTTGAAAGGTGTTCTTTTGGTTTGGGAGGTGCAGGGCTTGGGGTTGGGGATTTGTCTCAAAATCATGAACCCCCTGCTGGTTTGTCTCCAAATGGGGCAACTTCGACAGAGTGGTTTCCCTTTCAGATTGCTGCAGAAAACGATACCCTCGAAACGGACTAACCTTCTCAGGGTTGCTCCGAAATAGCTGACCGTAACAAGGACAGAACATGACAGAACATTGGCCCCTGGTAAAGGGACACAAAAAGACACAAAACCAACTTTCGTCGTGGTGTTGTCATTGTTGAGAAACCAACCACGGAACAAATGAGCCCACTAAAAAAAGGGTTACTAACCCTTAGTGTAGGCCTTAATCTGTTTCGAGGCTCGGTGGCAATCCGCCAGGCTCTACTTGAAGCCGAATGTCAGCATAAGTCACACCCACTTCGGCAGGGGTTGTGGGAATTGCTCACTTCTGCAACACCCATGCAAGACCTTCCAAATGACAAATTATCCATGTAAATAGAAGCTCACAACCGCTTGGGAGTTTGGGAATCTGAGCATCGATCTTGCCATGCGCCCTCTGACTCAATCCTCGCTGGGCTTGCTGGTGACTGCAGTGTATCTGGCACGCCCCATGGCTCGCCTTCACATTGGCAAACTCGGCTTGTTGATGCAACCCAAATACCCAAGCAGTTGGCGACTTCTCCTTGTGCCGAAGCCAACGACATGATTGGCTATCTTGGACCTTGTTAAATGAACTACGAAGGGTTCCCTACTTTTACCAAGAAGTACCCAAACGTGATACTTAAGGTCTTTGTTGTCGACATGTGGCTATGTGTCTTGACCTATCAAGCATGTGTTGCTTGTTTGCGCCGTTCGTCTTACGGCTCCATGTGAGGCTCTACCTCAAAGCGAGAGCCAAATGTCTCGAGGCAGCCACGGGGAAACGTCAGCACGAACGCAAACAAACAGATGAAGCTAACTATAGACTGCTTTGGACTAGTTTCCTCAAGGAACGTGGTTGGTTCAAGGAAATCGCATAGGCCATCATGTTTAGACGAATATCCTTTTGGTGGACCTCCTTTTAGGTTGCATTTGAAGTTGGGGAGTAGCAGAACCAACTGGGGCCTAAGGGAGGTCTGGAAAGTGGAGACGCGGCTTGCTATCACAAGAAGCAGTTGCAAGGGTTTGGAAGCAGGAGCAAGGTGCCAATACGCTACTTGTTCTCTCCGCAATGTAAGCCCCAAATGTACCATAAACTATTGCGGTAGTACGTGCTGCACCTAGACGGGCGGTTGCCAAGCAGAAAGGAGTGTTTGGGGACCCCTAAGAGGAGATGACATGAAACCAAGCACACACACACACTCAAACACAACGGGAAGAAAGATGTTGACCACTGCCCTTTGCGAGACATTGGCGGAAGCAACGGTACAAGTTCCCAATCTAAAATATATTTGGGTAAACTCATAAACAATTGGGAAGTTTGTGCCCTGAGCATGCTCTGGCCCCGGGTCTTTCTCTGGACTCAAGCCTCACCCAAGCACATTTAGCATCACATTGGGAATTTATTATTCTCATTATCAAAGGAACTTTGACTTCACAATCCTGTATTGAAAAGTCCTCTGCATTGTTGTTTGAAGTTCAACAGAAAAAACAAGCAATACTATGTTGTACTTTGTATTCATATTATGTAATGAATCTACTATACTTTATATGCATATCGTAAATGAATAAGAAATGTGGTTTTAATAAATATTGTACAATCACTATTACGTATATATTATATTATACATACATTGACATACATATGTATGGCTATATTGTGATGCATACCAATTGTAGCGAGTTTAGGCGTGTCCCAAACAGCGTCGACGCGGGCCACCAACAACAACTTTCCGAGGATTCCTGCTGTTGGGCGTGATTCTATGAGGGTTTCCCTGGCAGCTTGTGCCGGGCAGCGAGCAAAACACACATGACATGTCGCGTTCAATTGTTCATCCTGATCACGAAGTCCGCACCGCTGGCTCCAAACATAATATGCTAAGTTCGGCCCTCATTTTTTTTCACCACCGGATAGCTGATGGCCGTCTCACCCAAGCCCGGCCACATTGCTTGAACCGCGAGCTGATACAGGCACCTGAGCTCTGGATCCGTTTGATCCTGAAGAGCCAATTCCGGGGACCAGTGCAAAAACCCTCGGACGATAAGCTGTCCCTTTGTGGCCTTGGCGGGGTCCGAAAGTCAACCTGCGGATCAATGGCCAATTTGTTGCCAGCTACATAAACAATGACTTGGCGAACAAAGGTCTGTGTTGATCTTTTCCAGAGGGTACGGTAGATTGGCTCACTCCAGCCTTCGTCCCAGAAAATCATGCAAGAGCGGCGTGCTGTTGACCCATGTACGACATGGGGGTTTGCAAGCTCAAAGAGCCAAGTAGGGTCATTTGGCATGTCTCAAACTGACACAGTCAAGTCTTGTCGCATATCTCCATCCATGCCTACCCTTTGTACTCGCAAAGAGAACACGACCAAACAAGGGATCCCTGAACCATAGGTGACCTTTTGGAAAAATAGATGGTACATTAAAAAGAAAACTAAACCAAAGCCATCATGTACCTCTAACCAAATAAACCTAAAAAAGACACCTTGCTCTCCAAATGCACACTATGGCACAATTTCCCGTTACTATGCTAATCATCCCTTTACTCACACACAGGGAAAACGGTGTCGGCAATCAACTTTCACCCCAGTAGCATGCAATCCTCAAAGTTACCCTCCAAATGGTGGTGTATACTCAGTGTGTGCTTTTGTTCTCTAAGCCCAAAATAACCTGAAAACACTCGCCCAGCATGTTATGTTTGACTTTCGTTCCTGCAATGTGTACAAGTTGTTTGGAGCGGACAGCCCCATCTCTGCCCCCTTGCCTACGCACGGGCAAGCTATTGGGGGCTAAGCCAAAAAGTTTGCAGCCCCCTGGGAAACGGGCGGGTTAGCCTGGCAATGAAACCGCAACCAATCGTCCGACAGCGCGCCTTCCCCCGTCTCGCGGTCTCCTTCTGCTCCGAGCTTTCGTCAAGTGCTCGAGCTTGTGCACGCGGTCGGTCCTAGTGGGGAACGGGCACTCCAAGGCATCATTTAAACATCTACTACTCACCTGACCAAATGACCTGGAAAAAAACCTTGACCAAAAATGCCCCAACGAGAGAAACCCAAAAGGTGCAAGGGTCGGCCCGGGTCGGCTTTGGACACCCAAGTCTACGGGTTTAACTACGTCCTGCTAGTTTTACTCGTTTCCACTTTTATGTTGGTTCTGGCCACCAACGAATGTGCGAATTCCGCACAGGGCAGCAATCATCTGGGAAGGTCTGCATGGAAACAATCTGCTGCGGATGCGAGCGCCATGGACCCTGCCAGCAAAATACATGTTGTTTTGGAGCTGTTTCAGAAGCTGTTGTCCTTTTGGGCCTGCCCTTCAACGCGCTTTGCTTCTGTGAATGTTGCGCCCAAAGATTGATACAACGAAAAAGTGGGCCAACGAAGACTGGTCACAGCGCCGGTGCTTGAAAAGCGTCACAACCAAGTTGTTGGACATGATTATTGACAGGAACCTACCTAAAAAGCAAACCACGGAAGCCAAGCTTTGGGAGCGTTCCTCTTTTTGGGAAAGGTTTACCTTTCTCACAAATAAACGCGGAAGCAGGAGCCCTGAGGTTTGCGCAGCCAAATAGGCAATTCCCATCTAATTAGCGTCCCTTTGGCTTCCTACTGACTAGAAAGAACATCCACTTCCCCGGGAGGCGTGTTCCTTACCTAAATATATATATATATATATGTATATAATATGTATATATATACACATATTTTCCCTTGAAACGCTACGCCGAAGCTCACTTTAAAACAGCACAAAAGGTAATGTTTATTGAACGCCCAAACAGGAATAACATACATACGGGCCCACGTGGTGTTTCAGGGATGTGTTGTGGGTGTGGGTGCTCGCAGTGCGCCCAGCCAATACCAACCAGAATCCCCACTGGACAAAGGTTCAGGGTTGGCACCCTTCTCAGCGCAAGCGCGTGTGATGGTCATGGCAAGGCCAGCGTACACACCTCTCAACCGAGAGCCAAGCAAGCTAGTCACCCCATGTTGCTCCCCCCACCTGTTGAGGCATGACATCCTAGCCTGCAAGGAAACCCAAATGGCAGTTCCCGCAGCAATCCCTCGCAGCAGCAAACATGGCCTCCCCTGCCAACCGCGCAGCGCATCCGCACACCAGCAGAAAACACGCCCTTTCCGTGACGCGTCCAACAGTAATGGGCATCACCCAGGACGCAAAAGTGTGCGGACGCGTCGGGGTTGCATTTTCTTTCCCTTCACCCCCCTTTACACCTCGCCAAATTCCTATTGTTCCCAAGTGGCAAAATATACGACCCCCACGGCAAAGAACCTTCAATCATGGGTGAGCTTGCCTGCACTCCAATCCCGAATCGGGTGCAACGCCATGCAACGCCACTCCGGCCTGATATGGACCTTGTTCAAAGTGTCCTTAGCCTCCCACTCATGCCTCGGAATCCAAAGGCCCAAAGAACGCAAGGACAACCCTGGTGTTCGGGCTGGCTGCAAATGGGTGTGTCTCCTTAATAAAGTGGCACCCCACCCCACCCCACACCAAAAAGCGGTTTGATTTCTTGGCTTTCAATTCACCCTTAGGTTTTTTTCCCCAGTATCACAGGCCTTAGCGGAGTCGTTTGGGGGAGTGTTTTGCGACATCTGGCAGAGTTCACCAAATTGCCACCTCCCAGTATGGCAAGTGGTCCAAAAGAAGGGGGCGGTGTCCTCCAAACGCTCGCCAGGGACAGGAACAAAGGCATGCACTGTGGGTGGACAAAAGCATGCGCCAAACGGGGTGGAACCGTATGAAGTGTGGGAGAAACCTCCTATCTAGCCATCTGGTCGGCTGAGCGCGCCTTCCCCTGTCTCACGTTCTCCTTGTGCTCCGAGCGTTTTCGTCAAGAAGTGCTCGAGCTTGTGCACGCTTTCGGTCCTAGCGAGGAACGGGCACTCCAAGGCATCATTTAAACATCTACTACTCGCCTGACCAAAGGACCTGGAAATAAACCTTGACCAAAAATGCCCCAACGAGAGAAACCCAAAAGGTGAAAGGGTCGGCCCGGGTCGGCTTTGGACACCCAAGTCTACGGGTTCAACTACGTCCTGCTAGTTCAGAACCCTGGGTGTTACTCGTTTCAACTTTTGTGTTGGTTCCGGCCACCAACGAATGTGCGAATTCCGCACAGGGCAGCAATCATCTGGGAAGGTCTGCATGGAAGCAATCTGCTGCGGATGCGAGCGCCATGGACCCTGCCAGCAAAATAAATGTTGTTTTGGAGCTGTTTCAGAAGCTGTTGTCCTTTTGGGCCTGCCCTTCAACGCGCTTTGCTTCTGAGAGTGTTGCGCCCAAAGATTGATACAACGAAAAAGTGGGCCAACAAAGACTGGTCACAGCGCCGGCGCTTGAGAGGCGTGACAACCAAGTTTTTGGACATGATTCTTGACAGGAACCTACCTAAAAAGCAAACCACGGAAGCCAAGCTTTGGGAGCGTTCCTCTTTTTGGGAAAGGTTTACCTTTCTCGCAAATAAACGCGGAAGCAGGAGCCCTGAGGTTTGCGCAGCCAAATAGGCAA